GGAAGCCACTGGTAGACCATGGCCCATAAATGGGCCAACGCGCCAAGTACAAACAAAATAAATGAGGATGTCTCCCTCTTCTGAGAAAATACCAGTGGCATGAATCCAATTATCCAATATCTATATTTACAGGTTTTGAATTAATTAATTAACAAACCTCTTCACAAAACAGCAATATACTGCTTTACAAATACATTCTTGGCTATCTGGAATTAGCCGCATTGTGGTCAGTTGGGCTGATGTTTCTTGCTGTGGCCTTCTTTAAGCTATACTGTTGATATCAGTTACACAGCAAGATGGCCGAATTGTCAGACCAATTGAATAAGACACAGCTCATCCCGGATATCCAAGAATGTATTGCCTCCAGCCGCAGAAGCCTACGAACGCACTGCTTTACAAATATTTATTTGAAATGTACTTTTCATAGTTCTGAAGAAAGAGAAAGAAATCTTCAAATACCAATCTGCTAAAATATATATGATCCCAATGGAAACGTAGCTAAAAATGAGCACAATTTTGAAAATAAAAGGGCTATATGAAGAAAAATTATTTTACAAAGATTATTTGTTATGGTATTCTTTGTTAATAATTATTTCATATTAGTAATAACTCGTTGATATCTATTTGAAACAATTACCATTTCTACAAGGGATATGACTAATGACTAATAGAATTAATTTTGTTTATATTAGTGTGATCAGTTCATTGATGTTAATCATTGTGGTTTCAGGTAAATCAAATCCTTGCAGAGTGTTGAATGGTGGCTGTCAAGACTTATGTAAATTGGATGAAAAGGGTGAAGTTGTTTGTTCTTGCTATCCTTACCGCCGCCTTGTGAATAATGGTCGATGCATTGATGAAAGTATAGCTAATGGTACTAGTCAGGAGTGTTGGGTGGAGGATTCATTTCAGTGCTCAAGTGGGGGATGCATACCTTTTCATTTAACTTGTGATGGAATCTCCCACTGTGCAGATAAATCAGATGAAAGTGTTGAATACTGTGGTAAGACACATTCTCATAGTTTAATCCTTAACTTTTTCCCCCCTATCTTGCATTTCTATTTTATCTTTTATATTTCAAATGGCACTCTTTTTTTCGTGTTATTTTATTATTTGTTCTTTCATGTTTGTTTTGTTTTTTTTCTTTGGCAGCCCAACGTTCTTGCTTACCAGGGTATTTCTCATGCAAAAATGGCCGATGTGTCTTTGCTAATCAAACTTGTGATCAAGTAAATGACTGTGGAGATAATAGTGATGAAGGACCCTCTTGTACTTGTTCACCCCAACATTTTCAGTGTAAATCTGGTGAATGTGTGGCAGCTGATTCCCGTTGTGATTATACTCCTGATTGTCATGATGCAAGTGATGAAATGAATTGTCGTAAGTGTATTTGTGTTGTTGTTGTTTGTTTTTTTGTAATGATTTATGTTTTAATAAAATTATTTTTTTGTATTTAAATGAATTATTGTTCTAGCATCACAAAATTGTTCTCGTTTTCAACATCCAATTTCCCGAATACCAGTTGTGCCTTGTAACACAACCACTGCCTGCATTCATTTACAGTGGTTGTGTGATGGTGAAAATGACTGTTGGGATGGCAGTGACGAAATTGGTTGCAATACTACTACAAGTAAGACTTTAGTTCCACTCTGTGATGAATATTTTAAAATTTTTCATGTGACACGTTTATAGGCTGACATACTGACTTTTATCAATCCGAGTTGTCAATTTCTATTTTTGGTGCCACACTCCTACAATGATACAGAAAACTGTAAAGTGGATCTTTGTATTTAATTTTACATATGAAGACTAGAAATGCAGAAAAAAGGACTATATTTCTTTATCATAAACCAAACAAGAAAGCTCAAGGCAGCAGCAGTTGCCACTCATTGGAAAGCCCTATGATTCTCCCAATTGTGGCAGATTTTTAAGATGAGCTCGACAACTTAGAAAAAAGAAACTTATGGTGTTGCTTACTTCAGGAGGGGTGGCAAAGCCATTCCCCACTACTAATGAGGGGGAGCTCAGTTGAACTCAAGGACTACCTGCAATGATATGTGATTCACTCTGGCAACTTCATTCCTCTGCTTCATTCTCACGCTGTGAGAGTCACTGCTTGTTAACCCTTGCTTGGCTTTACCTGACCTTTCTGTACAATTTTCTTCTCAGTTGATTCCAAAACGCTTGCAGCATAGTTGATTGTTTTTACAATGTTTGTATTTGTTATATTGTATGCAATTTTTATATGCTGAAAGAACTGTAGCTCAGTATACTATCTCATGAGTCTCGCTTTAAACGGCCACCTTGATACACTTGCGGAGTTGAAGTCGAAGCCAGTTAATTAGACTTTCAACTAGTTAGAAGTGCGGCAACATGAAGTAAACAGGTTTTCATAGTTTTATAAACAAAATGCCTATTTTATTCTTCCTCAAAACATAGAAATTGCAATGCATTACAAGGGTGTCACAGTAGCATGGCAGTGGGATTGAAATAAAGAGCAGACAATAATGTAGGTTTCAAACAAATAGGATTAATTACAGTACTGATGTATTTTGTTTATTAGTTAATATTTAGTTTTATATTTTATTATAGAGTTCAAGTTTAATAGTAGTATTATGAGTGTAATGACTAGACTTCAGTTCTTTACACAAATACTTTTTATTCTTTTGATGTAGACACTCAAAATTAATTTTAAACACCATTGCTGTCTTAATGATACCAAGGAGCCACATTTATAGTAATTAAAATTGCCTATTTCACTTTTAACGCTTAAAAATGCATATTCGCCTTATAAAGAATTTAAAATGCATGTTCATTGAAAGAAAAACACTGAAGAATAAAGAATCCTTTGACTGAAAGTGAGACAAGTTTATATCTACATTAAATAAAAATTCCAGATTACCTTAACTGCACTCTGCATACAAAGTTCAAAGAGACAATTAATGTACTCTCTGTAATTAAAACATTACAACATGCGGTTACAAGTTGAAATAAAAATATTATATATTTTAATGTAATATGTATGCTGCTTATTTAGAAATTTATAGAGTGTATTTCTCTCTTATGAGCCTATTTGACACACTTCAAATCAGCTCATAGAGCCAATTTTAGGCACCTAAAATGGGAGGATTGAGTACTAAAAATCTGAAGACTTATTTATAATCATTTAATATAATTTAATCATAATATTTAGCCTAGGTGACTGTGTATAAACAGTTAGTAGCAATCATGCTTGTAATTGTTTCAGCGTTAGCTCCAGATGGTTGTTCAGGTTTCCATTGTTCTAATGGACTTTGCATCAGTCAGACATGGGTGTGTGATCAGGAAAACGATTGTGAAGATGGAAGCGAGACAGAACCAAGTTCTGATGAAAAAGATTGTGGTATGTTGGAACAAGAAGTGAAAGACAGTTTTCCAGAAAACAGCTTTTTATTGCATCTTAAGTAGATAGTTAAAAGATTATTCTTGAATTTCAGACAATCATTGCCGACCAGATCAATTTAAATGTTCGAGTAAGGAATGCATCCCAGCAACATGGCAGTGTGATGGAGTCCCAGACTGCTCAGATGGTTCAGATGAAGTTAAATGCCGTAAGATTATCATCTCATACATTTTTGTTGTCATATTAATGGAAAAGTTTTGCTTACTTAATGCCTACTGTCAAAATGGTTTCTGTTTAACAATTTTGTCTTTTAAGTTAACATGGATAAATATACTTTTTGAGAGTAAATAAATAGACATAAGTGAATTAAAATGTTATTGTTGTTCAGAGGAACGTACCTGCCCAGATACTGACTTCAGGTGCAATAATACCGGTCGGTGTATCCCATGGCATTGGGTGTGTGACGGAATGTCAGATTGCCCTGATGCTTCTGATGAAGACTTGGAGCACGATTGTCCTCCTGTTGATGTACATTGTGATGAACATGAATATCAATGTGCTAATGATCAGTGCATTCCTAAGGTATGCCCTAACTTCTGCCTAGAGAATTTATTGACTTGTTAAAATATATATCTGCTTTGCACCTGCATATACCAACTCTTCTTAAAAAAGGAAGCCTAAAACTCCTTGAATGCCAAGAATTATTTATACTAAAATAAGTGGATGGTTAATTGAATTTATATGAGTATTACAGCCCTCTCTCGGAATATATGATCTTTATTGTAATAAAGGAAGGCATGTAACAATAATTGTAAGTCTTTTAAAAGTACAGCTGACATGTTAACAGTTATAACATAATGTAAGAATTTATTTTTCTATTGAAGTAAGAGAAAAAACATGAAAACCCTCAAAATTGTAGTTTTTGTGTTATTATAATTTGTTTACGTATCTTTTGCCCATAGTGTTTATTCCTGGTCATAAGATTGCAAAATCATGCCGAAAGCTACAGTATCACAATAACTTCAATTTTGGCACTTTTGTCTCTTACGGCTCTAAAAATTCTAATACTAAAATTCCAAAAATAAAGTTCTAGCTTCTTCTTCTTCTGCTTCTGCGTCTTCTTCTGCTTCTTCTTCCTTTTCAATTTTTTTAAATCGGCAACAAAATAATCGAGGCTGGGATAATACTGAAATATGTAAAAATGAAGGGGAAAAGTTGTTTTTTATTTTTCAAACAATATTACAAATAGTTAGATAATTTAATTCTGACATCCTGCTTTCAATTTTCTCAGGACCTACTGGCAGTGAAAATTGTATAAAATAAGCTGTTTTTAAACATCATTATTGTTCATGCAACACATGAAGTTTTCCAAAATTTTGCTCTGAAAGACTGAAGGGAACTTTTATGGGGGGGTCTTAAGAAAATAAGTAACTTCCGTACCATGATACTCTAATAAAAGTTGTCCAATTTATGAGTCTTAGATGGCTCCTGAATGTTATTTTTATGTAACTCAAGTTTAAACCTCCAAAAAGTTCACATGCTCAAAAACATTTCTATGTATGTATTATCATCTTTTACACTCTTCAATTAGATCATGAAATTAACTAAGATGTTTCAAAATAAAATGTAGCATCATGAATCATTACAAACGAAGAATTGAACTGACTTGCATATATTTATCATGGGTATTAATGAAGAAATTATCTAATGACAATAATCAGATTCTAATACTTAATAATATTTAATACTTATTAAAATATTTTAACACCCAAAGTTAACTTTTGAGAATTCTTTTTTCCCCCCATTCAGTTGGGTCTATATCAATACAAACGGAAAATATAAATATTTCTTCTTGTACTTCCTTTCCTTAATGTATTTACATTTTCCCTTTGTATAGTTATAGACCCCACTGAAGATACAAAAAGTGTTCCTGAAAGTTAACTTTGGGTGTTAAATGTTTCTATAAACATTTAAACTCTGAATTATTGTGGTTAGATTATTTCTTCATTCATATCTACAGAATACCACAACATCTCTACCGCTGAATTTATAATTATTGCATTTCAATCTCAAGGAATAGCATGAAGCAGCTTACAAGAAGGGGTGCCATTTTGTGTTTTAATGGGAGTCTACATTGTTTCTGCTTTGGTTGAAGAACTAAAGAATGGTCAATTTCATTATTTATTTCTTTGAGACAAATATTTTAAAGTGACTAATTGTTCTACAATAGTCATTAGTCTAACATGTAGTTTTGTTTGGGATGTCCACTTTCTATAAAAGCTGTGATCAGTTCTGGATGTTATTGCAAAATTTATGTAATACTTACAGATCTTCCTCTTTACACAAAGAACGGTGATGATTTATTTGAAATAAGTGATGGAGAAAATTGGATTGGACATATTTTCTTTTATTTTCACTGATATTATTTCATTTAATTCATTTCATTCATTCATTCACTCATGCCTCTTTGTCATCATTCATTATTTTTGTAGGAAATCAAAAATAAAACAAACAACAAAAAGTTGGTAATAAAAAAAAAATCTGATCTGGTAAATGATTTTTTCATTGTAGATGATCATGAGAATTTCCTGTTTTAGTCCAGTATATGCATATATCTCTGATAATATGATAACGACTTACACTCAAACAAAAGATCCTTTCACTTTGGTCCTAAGCAACTCTGCGTCAATGGAAAATGCATCAAACAAGTTTCTTAGAATCTAAACAGTGCTGGTAGTATGAAATAGTACTTTAAAGTGTCAAGATTTTTAAGAAAAATAAAAAGTACTCATCCTCCTCCCACAAAGCATGTAGCATTACTGGCAGCTAGAAATTTGTGCTGAGTTAATTTTTAAATATACTATGTTAGGCTAATAGTTTGTCTAAATGTCCAAAACTACTTTTCATTAAGCACATGTATTGCTTACCGTACAGACAGGCATGCGATTGATACCCATTTTCCAATTGTATTCATTCAACCTTCAGCCTAAATTCTTTGATAATTGTTTGAAAACTTT